TCAGTTATTAATTTCACAGTTTACATCTTCATTCATTGTATGCCCCAAAATATATAAATAATTGTAATGAACTGATCTCTTAAATTATATAGGAAACAAATTGTGGGGTACAATTGTAGTTGTAAGCTAATCTTTTTTCTTAAGATAGTATACTCTTTGTAAAAAACAAAAACTAGAGTTACAAATGGAAGTTACAAGTGTACTTGACTGTGTATCTGCTTATGTATACACCTTTACTGAGATTATTATTTCTTTAAACAGCTTTACTCTCTAATCACCTTTCATTTTACCCCAAAGAATTCCATTGCCCATTTCTTATAGAACAGGTTTAGTGGTAAAAAATTCCCTAGTTTTTATTTATCTGGAAATATCTTAATGCCACCCTCACTTTTAAAAGAGAGATTTTCTGGATATAGGATTCTTGGTTGGCAGTTACTTTTTTCCTTCAGCACATTAACTTTATATATACATTTGCTGCTTTCTCCAAAAGTTTCCAAAGTTTCTGATGAGAAATTTCCAGTAATCTTATTGAAGATTATGAGCATGTTATGAGTCATTTTTTTTCTTGCTGCTTTTGATATTCTCATTGTGTTTTGGGCTTTCAATTGAGTGTGGTACATTTCAGTGTGGATCTTTTGTGCTCATCCTGCTTGGAGGGTTGTAAGCTTGTTGGATTATTCATGTCCTCTTCAAATTGGGGAAGTTTTTGACCATTATCTTTTCAAATAATTACTGTTGTTTCTAGAACTCCCACAATGGATATTTTTGGTTCATTTGGTGTTCCACAGGTCGCTAAGGCTCTATTTCCATTTCCTCAATTTTGTTGTTGTTGTTATTTCTCAGACTTAATAATTTTACTTATCCTGTCTTCGTGACCATTGATTCTTTTGTCTGCCAAATCTTTGAATTCCTCTTATTTTGGACTTCAGTGGTAGTGATTTTTCAGCTCCAAAATTTCCTTTTGGTTTTCTTAGGCTTTTCTTTATTGATGTTTCTTTTTTCCTTTTTTTCAGTACCGGAGATCGAACTCAAGACCTTGTGCTTGCGAGGCAAGCATGGTGCCACTGAGCTAAATCCCAGGCCTGATATTTCAATTTTATTCACACATCCTTTTCTTGACTTTGTCCACATGTTCCTTGAGCATTTTTAAGACTGTTATTTTAAAGTCTGACTTGCAGAGCTACCTCTGGTCTTTCTCAGGAATAGTTTCTGATGGTTTGTGTTCCTCCTTCGTTGTTGTCGTCGTCGTTGTCCTCCTCCTCCTCCCCCCCTCCCTCTTTCCCCTCCTCTCCCCGTATTCTCTTCCCCCTTCCTCTTCCTCTTCCTCTTCCTCCTCCTCCTCCTCCTCGTCCACCTGGGAATTGAACCCAGCGCCTTCACACAGAGCTACATTCCCAGATGTTTTAAAATTTTAAATTTGGAGTCAGAATCTCTCTGGGTTACTAAGTTGCCCAGGCTGGGCTGAAACTTGTGATCTGCCTGCCTCAGCCTCCCCCATCACTGGCATTATAAACATGTGCCAGTCTGCCCAGAGCGCTTCTCATCTTAATCTTTCTCTTCTACCTATTGTTATTTAGAATTTTGGGTAGTTTTTTTTCTTTTTTGGTACCAGGAATCGAACTCAGGGTGTTGCGCTTGCCAGGCAGGTGCTATGCCCTAAACTACACCCCCGGCCCTGTTATTTAGAATGTATTTTTGTATATAGGAAAAAATCGGTTCAGGCCGTTATCATTCTGAATTAAGTTAAGAGCTAAGCTTGATTGAAAATGTTTGTCTTCCAATAAAATATACCAGATTTGGCCACACCCCGGTAGAAGAAAGTTTCGGCTGCCTGGCCAAGGACAATGGTATCTATGTGGTGGCAAATATAGGGGACAAGAAGCCGTGCAATGCCAGTGACCCCCAGTGTCCTCCCGACGGGACGGCCATTACCAGTACAACACCAAGGTGGTGTTCGATTCTCAGGGAAAGCTGGTGGCCCGCTACCATAAGGTAAAAGGAGCGCACAATCAACAGGTGTTTGAAGGCTTAATGAGTTAGTGGGCAGGAGGGGAAAATTGTTATAATTGGTAATAAGGATGCTTTAGAAACAGAGCAGGAACAAAACACGAAAAGAAACGAGGAGGTGTGGTAAGACTCTTAGAGTGGGTGCCTAGGAACTCATTTACCAGCCTGGCTTGGCCTTGAGGCAAGAGAAGCACAGAAAGATCTCTGCTTACAAGAAACAGTTAAGTATCCTGGGCAACAGAGGTTATGTGTTTCACTCCTGTATCTTTAAAGTTCCAGATGGTCTGTAGAGATAAGGGTGCCATGTGCATATCGGCAGGGTGCAGATTGAACTACAGGCTCCATCTGACTGTAGGGGCCTTTGGCTCCCCGTTTCCCTGTGAAGACAGGATTGTAGGTGAAACTGGCACTGCCTACCATTCTTGAGCATCCACTTTTCCAGGCACAGTGATATCTAAATCAGCATCTTAAAAGGGTTTCTTTTCCTTTAATCTTCTGTTTATCCCAGCAAAACCTTTTCATGGGTGAAGAACAGTTCAATACACCCAGGGAGGTTGAGATGGTGACTTTTGATGCTGCCTTTGGAAAGCTTGGCATTTTCACGTGCTTTGAT